TTCTCTACCCTACTGCTTCTTGATTCTAAATTCGTCCTACGAGTTTCAATTCCGTCCAAACGCATTGAAACGTCATTAGATTTTCTTCGTCCTACGGATAAACGTAGAAAAAGGTGATTAGCTAGGATAGCGCTTCTTTTGTTTTGATAACAATGAGCATAAATATTCATACAATGAGCTCTAATAGGATTTATGTTGTAGCTAATGAACTAACGCATCGAAAAAAAACCTGTTATTGATCTGTGCAAAGTGAAATCATTGATATTATTGATCTTTTTTGATCGATAGAACGGCTTTGGGCGATTACGACGAAGTAGCGCTATACCCTACCATTATTTCATTAGAGTATTTTTATTTCCTTGCTGGTTTTATATAACAAGGCTTGAAACAAAGGATTCAGTAGATATTCTGATAAAGTCATTTGTTGTCTAGAACAAAACTTCATCTTATCTTCTGAATACCAATGTTGTCTTTGCCGAGCTTGTTGTCCAGCAAGTAGAGGAAGTCGATGACGTTCTTGAGCGGATCTTCCGGTCGGGCCAGTTTGTCCGGTATCAGCTTTTACAGCTCGGATGCCGTCTTGGTTCGCGCTTCTTCTTTTCCCATTGGAGTACGATCGATTTCTGGAAGTGGATGACGTGCGCAACGTTTAGCAACCTGGGGGGGGGCGTGCTGTCAAATCAGCCTACTGATCATTCTTGTATGAAATTAGTTCCAAACGTAAACACACCCTGTAGCATTCAAAGTGTTTTTATGTTACTTCATACGCGAAGTTAACGATTTTCAGAGTTGGTTGGAAATGCTAACATGAAGCTTTAGTGTGATGATTTATTAGCTAGAGAATGATCTTTAGAAGAGGGTAGGTGGATAGTTCCGTTAGAGTATACGGCAGTATGAAAATTGAATAGAAGTTGAAAATGAGCGAAGGGCCATTAATGCGACAGTTTTTAAAGATAGACGCACATTTTTGCCTAACCCGTACGATGTGCGGGGACTTGAAGTATGTCTCCAAGTCCACAGGCAAAAATGTGCGTCCCTCTTTTTGCTCATAAACTGACTGCGGCTGTGGAATAGTTCTAGCGACGTTTTCATCACTACCTAAAGCCCCACGTTGCGAGAGCATTTCCAGTCGATGGTGTGTTATAATGCAGTTCTTCTTTACCCAACTATTGTGTTGCTCCTCTCGCATTAATGGCCCTTCGCTCATTTTCAACTTCTATTCAATTTTCATACTGCCGTACTCTAACGGAACTATCCACCTACCCTCTTCTAAAGATCATTCTCTAGCTAATAAATCATCACACTAAAGCTTCCTGTTAGCATTTCCAACCAACTCCGGACACCCTGTAGGTTTCTTATGGCTTGTTTACGTTTGGAACCAGTTATGCGAGGTAGGCGACGATTGCTTGTATTTGACAACCATCTCCTCCCCTTGTTGGCAACAGGTAACAGGCGATTGGCGATGGTAACTGGTTAAAAGTCAACGTGGTAAGCTTGCGGGATGAGCGAGGTCATCAAGGCGATGACCGTTGCCAAGTACAACTGTAATCTGTTGGTGATACTGGAATTCTTTCGGATGATGCTGGAGTCGCTACCGGAAGATTTCGAGATCGGAGAACCTCCACTCAAGACGATCGAACTGTTCAAGGATCTGGTGCGGAAGGCTGTTTCAGAACAGTTTGATCGAAGTTGGGAAGGGGGTGGCATCGTTCTGGAAGCTGATTGAAGATCATCATGAAAGGACTGCTACTGGTCATAATGCCGATTTGGAATGTGATTAGTGGATTGGTTAGTGGGCAGAGCGAGACCCTGCAGGAGGAAGTGAAGGGAACGTTGAAGACGTTGGTAGATCGATTTGGGACGGGGAGATTCGTGACGGAGCTGAAAGCACAGCCGAAGGAGGTTAAGTGGAATTGTAAGATTTTGATTGGTCAGTTGTTGGGCTTGAAGGTGAGCTCCTGAAAGTCGACATCGGTAAGTTGGTTGAAAGATAGGTTTAGCTCTTGGACACGACCTTGGTAACCCAGCACTTGAAATAGAATATTCCACTGGTGGGACATGGCGGAGAAGAAGTCGCGAAGTGTAAAGTGACCGGTGTTTTCCATGGTTCCCAGAGATTGGACCAGTTCGGTTAGCATTTTAACATCGCGATGTTTGCAATTTTTTTCCTTGATTTGTTTTCTGTCCATCTTGTTTTCCGTGCTGAGCACCAATGCTACCGACGTCAGGGAGGCAGCTTCCACACTGGACCCTACCTATCGACCCATCAACTCATAGACCGGGGACCAACGGCTTTACTTCCCTTCCGAAGGCGTGATCAGAGATGTTATACCTCAGAACATTCCGGCGGAGATGACTGGGATTGAACCCAGGCCTGCTGGGGTGAGTGGTAATCACGCTTATCACTACACCACCGGTGTCACTTTGATGTTTGCGATAATCCTCGTAGAACTGATCCGAACACAGCTTTTCGAACTCAATGAGGTACGAATTGATTATGGAATCCGAGCCGCACAGAAGCGTCGTAAGGGGATTGGTGTCCATACAAAGGCCACCATCTGGCCGTAGTAGTTTTATCATGTTTGATTCCGTAACGCGTGGTGAAGCGTCGGTGATCAGCCAACCGACATTCAGTTTCATGATTCGTTCCTCATCGTAACTGACATCGACACTGCTTTTCGTCAGAGATATCATATTTCCCTCCATTTGTCCGATCGTTGGACTGTCTGACCGTGTGGACATATTAAACCCCACCTCCACCTGGGAAGTCTGATTCCGGTTGAAACTCCGACTCGAACGCTTGCGATGCATCTTTGAGTCGATGGCTTTCGGGAGAAACTCCCGGAAGCGTTCATCAGCATCTGGACCAGTTTCCTCTGATGATGCACGTTCGCTTCGTCTACTTACCACCGTCACCTGTGGTTAATTCGAGTCCTCTTCTTCTTCTTTCCTTTATTTAGCGTCGGTCTCTGTTCCGCAATCTAGTGCCAATCACCGACGGATATCGATTGCCATCCATTGACGGCAATCGAATGTGCAGGAAGGCAGCTTCCACAGCTGCGTAGGATATCGCACCCATTCCGGGACCATGGGCCGGGACCAACGGCTTTACTTCCCTTTCGAAGGAAGACGTGACCAGAGATTTTTATGCCTCAGAAAAATCCCACCGACCTCGGCTGGAATTGAACCCAGACCCATTGGGGTGAGAAAGCAGTCACGCTCAAAACTACACCACCGGCGCCGGCCTATTCGAGTCCTCATCATACTCCAATCCAGTAGAAGTTATTGTTCTGTCGAAAATTGGAAGTGCCTCCCCCGGAGAACGTTCTCGCTCAAAGCTCATACGGTAAGAAAAAGATACCCAACGGCGAGGGGGATGACTCTATCTACGATACAGGAAAGATTGTGTTTTGCCGTGGCTAGCTGCGCGCACGCTGAGTAAATAGAAAAAAGATTGATGACGATTCTGAAGATTTCCTGCAAAAAGATGATGCGCGATGCAAGTAGATGCGAGAAAATAAAGAAGGTTTTTCGAAGATTGATTCGCTAGTGTGAGATTTTTTGAGCATCTAGAATTAAGATTTAGATGTGTCGCCCCTCTCGCCCACCGGCCAGTTAACTTTTACCTACTTTTGACTAGTTTGTCTCCTTTTCTCCTTCTAATGTTGTCAAAAACGAAGGAGCGAAACCACCCAACAGGGGTAGTAAAGTGTGGGAACCCAACGTTGAGTATAATCAACCGGTGGAAACTAACGATTTTAAATTAGTTCACTACTTGACTAGCCTATTGGTTCCAAGCAAATCGATTTACGTACCCCATTCTAGTCGAAATTCTAGTACTACAGTTTGTTTGTTTTGATTCGCTTCGAAAGTTTGACAGGGGGTTCATGGATTTTTCTATGTTTCGAGGGGTGAATCGATTAGCTTGGGACCGAAGAGAGTACCAGAGCTGAGCCAAAAAGTTGAGCTCGTTTCTTCGGGACCTACTAGTCTTAGAGTTACCTCTATGCCATTACGGAGCATGAGATTTGATCAAATTATTCGCAGTTTTACTTGTCCAACGCCCCTGGCTGGGTGAGGGATCGAGGATGACACTCACACACATCCAAATATTTATCTAATATCAAAAAGTATCGAAAACGGGACAAAATTAATATCAAACCAATTGAAAAAGCGGTGATAGAGTGTCGGTGAAAGGGATTGAAAGCCATTATGAGGTTTCGTTTCAACTCAATAATCGACACTACTTTCAATGAAAGTGATAAGCAAAGCAACGACGAGAAAATCCACAGCTCCTTTCGTGCTAAGCGAGCTTCTTTTTAATTTTCATTTCGTGCTGATAGTTTAGCTAGGCGTTATAAAAATGATGCGTTGAACAAGTTGCATGAAAGAAACAAAACTCGAGTTCATTTTAGAGCTTCGAAAATGTAGAGCCCTGGTTGTAAATAATTTATTCATTAATTTAATTTTAACATAATAATATAATATATACAATGAATCGTGCTTTTGGCTTGTAAACCCCTTTGAAATTTCAACTCTCATTCTCCATCAACGACAACCGGTCGCCGGAAGTTCCTTCGCCACTTGAATACATCTTCGTTACAAATCGCATCATCTTTCCAAGCGATTGATTGGATCTCGAACTTCCACTACTGCTGGCCGTTGTTTCTAGTACTTTGAACACGTCCTGTTGTTGCCCTGTCGCCTCTTCCGGTTGCACCTTTGTCTGTTTCTTCGGGGGAACACTACGGGATACACGGTGCAGCTGGGCCAAAGCTAGTGATCGGTTCATGATAATATCCTTCTATTTGCTGTGGATCGGTTGGTTCTTAATTGAAATATGACTTGTGACTGATGTTGGAAAGTCGCAGGATGGATCCTTTTATACCGGTAATTTCATATGTACCTATCGAATGTTGTTGTATTTCTGACTACCGGCTGCTGAGAAATCTTCGTATCTAGGTAGTGTTTCGGCAAGTGCAAACGACATTTTGTGTTACTTTTCTTTATTTATTTTCAATTTTACTTTTTCAGCACATTCTTTTCTCCCCTGACTTCATTTCATTTTCCTTACAAGTGTAACCTATTTTGCCAATTCAAAAGCCAGTTTCTTTCTCCGATCATAGCCAACCGTATCTTATTGGTTTGTTCTAGGGATTCGCATATATGTACGGATAGAATCGAACTGTTGGAAAGAGAGATATATTTTCTAGTGAGATTATTACACTATTATGCGGTAAATGGTAATAAATATAAATATGGCCTATAACGCAACGCTCGCGCGTCCCTCGTTGCGTGTTTGTTTGTTTGTTTGTTTGTCTGTCTGTAACTTGCTAAAATACGGTGGCATAAACACTGCACTTTGCTTTCGTTTTAATTAACAATTATTCTGCTAGCTACCCTAAAACAATAATTTCATTTTTTTAGTGCTTGTATTCGTGTGTCTGTATGTGTGTGCATGGCTAGTAGAACTTTGTTTTGAATTAGATCTTACACGTTTAAGTATAGTTTCTATTGATAGGTTTTCACCGTTTTATTAGGACTAACATTAGTACGATTTCTCTTACTATAAAGTACATACTAGATTTCACTTGTTTCATTTAATTTTTACACAAAGTTGGAAATTGTTTTACGAACCTATATTGGATACATCATTAAGCAGTGGTTCAAATATACAACGAAGGGACAGGGGGAGTGGTTGACTAATTCTAGCCCTAGTGAAGGTATGATTAAAGGAGGGGAAACGAAACTTAAGGATGATAATGAACAAAACGAAGAGATACTAAATTATAACAATGTTTAAGAACTCTTTAACATACAAATTAATCCTTAAGCGTTTTTATTTGGTTCTTTCTGCGCTGATATTGTGTTTTAGCGTTCTTTGTTTTTCAACTACAGTTACAATACATGAAAGATTTGTTTCGCATTTTTTTTTTTTCTTCTTTGCAATTGGTTCGGAATTTTAAAAGCTGCACCTTTTTATTTCCCGCACGCACTATTATAGGTGAAGGCGTGGACGATTTTAAATCGGTCTAAAGGTAACGTTAATACATTCAATTTTTCTTTTCTACTGCGCTTGGGTTGGGTGTATTTTTTGGTGCAAAACGTTAGAAGGCATTTCCACATTTTACGCTGGCTTAGCTACACTTTATACACAATGCATCGTCCTTTAGCCCGCAATTGATTGCCATTTCAAGGAAAGTGCATCGTTACCACTTAGCAGATCTTCAGTTCAAACAAATGTACTCTTTTGTGGGTAAATCTCGGCATTGAATTCCAGTTGGGAAATGAAAAGTGGTTTTTGGATCGATTTTATTTTTAGAATAGCCTTCTAAGCAGGGAGAATAGCACCAAACATAAACCTAAACTGGCCGACTGAAGCCGGGTGGACGCGGAGCTGCCTCCCTCGTGTCGGTTTTCCAGCGATACTTCACCGGGAATCTGGAACTGCAGTGGAACGGTTTCCGTGTAGGCCCACCCTTCGGTGTTTTTGGCACGGGCAGTGATGAACCATTCACCCTCCGGCAGTCGGATCGAGCGTTTGATGCTGGGGAATGGATGGAAAAAGGTTATACTTTTTGATAAATCCACTTGTTCTGATTATACTTACTTCCAAAACTCTCCATTGTCTTCCTTGTTTTGCTCCGAGATGGTAGCATCGATGGTAGTGTACTTTGTCTGAAAAGAAAAAGTTTATGGGTTAGTTCACGTAAGCTCTTCGTCGAAAAATCTAGGTACTTTGACATGTAAATTGCTACCGGCAAATTGAGAATTAATATTTTTGGTATTGTTAAAAAATTTGATAATTTTTGCTCGACAAATTATCTGAGCTTTGTACCAAGCCCTAGACCTAGCCCCTACTTGTACTTTCATAAAACAAGGTAGCAACTCTACCAAGAAAACTAGGAAGGATAGGTAGTCCGCACTAGAGAGGGTCTAGGATACGGAGGATAAGAGAGGAGCGGATTCAAAACAAACTGTGTTAGCAACACTGCCAATGCAATCAAGATAGGCTCTGCTCGATTGTCTCTGGCTTCCTTACTAAAAAGAACCATAAGGAAGAGCTTAACGACGTATTCGGGGTATCATCCAAACCATTTGTGGGATAGTACTACCATCCGAGTTACCGTTCGTTTATGGCATACAAACAAGGATTTGACAGTTCGTTTGGCTCAAAGCCAGCCAGTCCGCTCCTCTCTTATACTAGACCCGCACTCCGTTTGGATTGTTCCAGTAATCCTGCTTGGACATCAATTTGGAGTACAGTCGGCTTTCGCTCGTTGGGCTAAACCCATAGCCCACTTAGTGAAAGGCTTTCGTTAGTTGGGCTGAGCTGTCAAAGCTGACAATTGCTTGAGGATACATCGATTGTCTATTATCATCAAAATCGTTTAGCAACTATTCAAATGGTTCATCCATGAGTCCCCCGAAAATGAATCTGCAATGTCTTAAATGACGTTTGGCCCAACTAACGGGAGCCAAACTTAAACGTAAGCCCACTTTAAGATAGCCCAACGAACGAAATTCGACTGTAACTTTATGGCTCATTTTGCAAATTTCCATCGGGAGTGGTCGAAATTCGACTGTAACTTTATGGCTCATTTTGCAAATTTCCATCGGGAGTGGTCTTATTTTTCGATTATTTTCAGATCTGAACTGATTTACAGCACAAATAACCACATATTAAAAATCCGGAATATCCGTGAAAGCGGTCAATCCCAGAAACGGATCCTGGAACACCACGCTTTTTTCAAAACAATTTGAACTATGAATAAATTTGAGGTTGTGTCATAAAAATGGACCCAGATGGCTATGGGATTGTTCGCCGAAAGATCCGGAACATCCGTAAAAGCCATCAATGGATGAAACTGATACTTGAGTTGAATTTTTACTCAAAATTACATTTTTTTACCGTGTATTTTTTTTCCTACACTCAAAAAATTCCACACGCCATCATCATGTGTCTATCCATTTCATGTGTGAATCTTATGCTATGAACCATGCCTGAAGACGATGGATTTGAATTGTGACATACTTGGATTCTATGTGCCTCATATGGTGATATCACTAGCTTTGCACATCATAGTTTAATATTCTACAATATTCTACTTTATCGACTTCTACTTTACCGACTCTTAAAATGAATCGACACATATATAAACAAAACTTCCAGAGGCCATAGCTTTCACATATTTTTTTAATGGGTCTGATTTGGGATTCGATCATGGACTGTTGGGGTGTGCTGCTGCCGGAATCTTCGTTCGATCTCACTGTGCCACGGTTGTTCTCATATATGAGGCGGGTTGATAGGATAAAGTCACAACTCTTGTTTTCGATGTTTACCTTTCTGAGCAAGCAATACAAGCTGAACATTGCATTAGGTCCTAAGTAACATTGACAGATTCTCTTCGTTGACTTTCTCTTTGCATCCTCATGGCCATGTTAAGACATTCCCAACTATTTTCAGCTTTCAGATCGACGAAAGCAGCTATTATCTATCTTCTAATACGACAAACACGACTTTAAACGGTTTTATACATTAACGAAAGAGAAAGTCGATGAAGAGAATCGATCACTGTTACATAGGACCTAATGCAATGTTCAGCTTGAATTCACATCGTATTTTATGCAACACACTTTCAATTCCATTTGTTTTGTGTAATTCAATGTGCGATACACTTGAAAAGATAGTGAAATTTTTGACGTAGGACTACGTCTTTGATTTCTATATGGGAGTACACTTTGTGAAAACCGAAAATGGAACATGTAACAAATTAAGAAAGATTTTGAACGTTAATAACTCAGCTGCCCTTGGTCCAATTCCAATAATTTTATCACCAATCGATCAGAAATATGGCTACGCATCGATAACAATGCTTCCGAATGTTGATTCAACACGAAACTATTGAAAAACTGGTAAATGTCCAGCATTGTCCAAAAGCGTCGAATTAACTAACAAATCCACCAATTGCCTACATGGATATTAGAGTGATGCAAAATTTGAAATTTTCGCTCCACAATACTTAAACGATTGCAAATCGGATCCTGACTAACCTCCCAAAATTTGAACCCATTTGGTGAGAAACTGAGATGGCACAAACCATTTGAAGTTTCTATTGGAATTACTATGGTAAAACCAAGATTTTAATTCATGTCTATCTAATAATTCACCATATCGGTCTGCTTCGAAAGTTTTCAACTGTACTTGTAGGAAATTTTCCCATCTATAACTTTGCTCAAGACCACTTTTTGATTAAATGCAAGGATCGAAAGTTATCAATGGTTCAATGTACTGATGTCTTATGATCATGCTCAATCAACTGCTCAGCAGGCAACATTGGTGTTTCTGGGGCGTTGAATAGGACACTAAAATCATGGCTACTATGTCACACTGCAAAATACAGTGTTGCCTACAGAGCAGCTGCTTGATCATGTCATAAGTTTACCAATCACTTAAATAATTAATAAGTTTTTCCTGTCTCGTTTTACTTAGAAACAATCTTCAGCAAAGTTGTAGCTGAAAAAAATTTCTATAAGAATGGTTATAGAACAGCTCAATATGGAAAAATACTAGAAGGCAATGAACAAAAAGTTGAGTTTTCCCATAGTAATTTACATGCAAACTTCAAATGGCTTGTGCAAAGCCTGTTTCTAACTAAATGAGTTGTAACTTTGGGAGGCTAAACAGGACCCGATTTGAAACCATTTAAGCACTGTGGAGCGAAAAAGTCAAATTTTGCATCAGTCTAATGGATATGCTGCTTCCCCAGCACAGTCATCAGAGAGTAGTAAGTAGACGAAACAAGTCGAAGTGGTATTCGCCTCCGATCCTCGGTCGCGTGGGAATAGGGAGGATGGAAGGGGTGCAAGTGATTTTGATTGATTCTCTTAATCAACTTTCTCGTTGAAAAAAAAAATACTACAAATTTGGTACCCCTACAATTCAAAAACGGAAAGAGTTGAGATAATAGATAATTGATCAATTAAAAGAACTAAATGCTCTTCACATTTATTCCGTCCACTAGCGGTCCTACGTCAAGCTTCCGTTCGTGCCCCTAGGCACAGACCCTTCTACTTTTTCAATATTTCAAAGTTTGAAACACTAGAAATTAACGTGTATAACACATTGAACCAAGGTGAAATACACTTAAAGTAAATGTGATTGTGCACAAGATTGTGCATTTAAAAAATCAAGTGTTTAAACACTTGGATGAAACGTGTGGAATTTTTTGAGTGTAGAAAAACATTATTTTTTCTCTCTGACGTATTTCGATAAGAAGTGACGTTTTCGTGTTACAATTTATTGACAGACGTCGTTTTGAAAAAAAAGTAAGAGATTGTATCCAAGACACGACCGTAGATTTGACGTAAGATTACGTGCTCGGTATCAATATTCGGCAACTGTGTTAGGCCGTTCCCAATACTGTTGTATTTCATATGCAATAAGATATACATAGGTAAAGCACATAGTTTCATATGGACTGTTTCAATTTGAAGCTAGAACAGAAACGCACCCCTCGTAATTCTGAGTTGCAGCTTAATTATTCGAATACTAGTTTGCACCATATTCGAAACTGCTCGACTATTCTGTTTTATTTATGAGCGGAAAACACGAATGGAACTCTGTTTAAAATTTCTATGGATGTATTTGTGGAGTTTCTAATCTGACAGATGGCAGACGGCCAGGGGAAAACGAGGTGATGAAATGAATTAACCACTTCATTCGATCAGTTTAAATTACGTTTACTACCACTCGAACTTTGAAATAAAACATTATTTTTAGATCTTTTCTTCTAGAACCTCGAGAAAAGTAACCAAAATTTGTGCGTTTCATAAAAAAATAGAAATTAGTTGGTCCAGTTTTGTGAAATCGCTGGTAGAAAGTCACGCCAAAACTGCTTGACAAAGTGGTCAATTCTCATTCTGTTATTGTTCAGAGTCGACAAATTGACCGAGCAAATCAATTTGCTTTACATCATAGACATCATCTCTCAAGAAACCAGATGACTCCTAATTTTCCAATCTTCGGATGATTAGAGATCTACAAAAACATCTCCGATTCATCAATTGTTCTGAAGATTTTCTACTGTCCAATAATTCAAATCTGTCTCTCAGATATTCTCGTATGAAGCCAGATTGCTCAGAAATTATTCCAAAGGCCAACAAGTGATCTCTTCATTAAATCATCAGGATATTTTTTCATGCCTTCAGGTTGAATAGGTACCCAAGTAACATTGCAACTTTTATTAAGGTTTTAAAGCACTCTACAAGTCTAAATCGTGGTCTATAGAACCCTCATAAAACGCAAATTGTTACTTGGGTACTGTTCTGAAGGTATCCAACAATTCAAATTGCGTCTCTCAGTTATTCTCTTATGATACCACGTGACTCAAAAATTAGACCAAAGACCTTCAGGTCATCAGATCTGATCATATCAGCTCTCCAAAAAAAATCTTTGTACATTTTTCAATACTTCTGGATGTTCAACTATTATTATGAAGATATTTAGCTGTCCAACATTCAAATAACGTCTCTCAGAGATTTTCTCATGACACCAGGGTTCTCAGAAATTATTCCAAAGGGCTTAGGGTGCTCATAGGTTTTCAAAAACTTCACAGGATATTTCCTCAATACTTCAGGATGATCAAATATCAGAAAGAAAGAAATTCCTTCAGGTGCCCATAGGTCTCCAATAACTGCTCATGATATGCTTTCAATACTTCAGGATAATCAAGTTTTATTCTGAAGATATTCAATTACCTTACAATTCAAATCTCTCAGATCTTCTCTCGTGATGCCAGGTGGCTAAGAAATTATTGCAAAAACCTTCAGAGGTGCTCACAGGTCTCCAAAATCTTATCAGGATATTTCTTCAACACTTCAGGATGATCAAATGTTATTCTGAAGATCTTCAACTGCCCGAAAATTGAAATGTCGTCTCTCAGAGATTCTTTCGTGATATCAGCTGTTTTAGAAATTATTGCAAAAACCTTCAGGTGCTCATAGGTCTCCAAACACATCACTGGATATTTTTCCAAGACTTCCCGGTTCAGTGACCACCCTGCACGTTTCGACAGCAGAATCGTCCGGGATCTTTTCTCATGGTTCGACCTCGTTACCTAACACTGGATTACGTTGGTGTAATCATCTTGTTCCAGGAAACATTCTTTTACGCAGAATTGGCTTCTCCGTTCGTGCTAAAATCACCGAAGCAAACAAACTTTGCACACGCACACATATCTAGGGATGAATACCAAACTCCGTTTAAAACTGTGCGTTGCGCTGATCGTGTTCAGTTTCATTTTTGACAGTTTCAAATTTTAGAACTGTCGAGTAGTTTGAAACAATTTTGAAACTCAGCATTGCGAACGGCCACTTCTCCCATTGTTTTTGCGGACAGCCTTTCGTTGTGTACTGAAGAAAAATGTATAACGCCACGCGCCGAAAGCACTGCTGCTGCTTCTGCTGATGATGATGACCAGACGCCACCACTCACCACACGCGGTGATTGAATAAACTCCGTTTGGCGAGACTGGAAGGAATTCAATTTATAAAACCTGTGCTTTTCGCAGGCAATCGGTGATAATTTTAATTATCATAGCAACAGTTGCACATTCGTGCAGTTTTCAATGGTGACCTTTTGAAAATTGATTATTTTTTTTTCACAGATATCGATTGGCGTATTAAGAATTAAAATCCATCATCTCTGGATCAAAATCAAACCACTTTCATGCCGCTAGTGACTTTGGTTTTTGAAATTGCACCCCCAATGTTGCCGCAAAAATACATAATATGTTAGATTTAACCTTACGGGAACTGACATCCGATTGATGACCTTGACAAATGTCCAGAAAATACTCTTTAACTCATTTATGGTGGTTCTGAAAAGGACCGTTTTGTCGTGATGATTGAGTAATGCTGAGCTATTAGGGTGTTCTTGAGGCTGGCGAGCAGTATGTTGTTTGGAACGAGGGTCACGCGCTTGGCAAAGATGGCCCACAGCAACTCATGAAGAGCTACTGAATCCGATCAGTAGCGGTGCGGCTTCTTCCTTCTTCTTCGGTGAATGGACGACCATGAGGGCTGCAGCTTACTGTTTGCGGGCAGCCTTTCGTTGTGTACTGGAGAACGCTCCGAAAGCACTGCTGCTGATGACGACCGACCGGACACCACCACACGGTGATTGAATAAGCACCGTTTGGCGAGACCGGATGGAATTCGAGTTTGAAATCTGTGTTAGGGAAAGTGCTTATTGGTGATAATTTAGATCACCATTGCAACAGTTGGACATTTGTGTAATTTTCAATTGTGACCTATTGAAAACTGATAAATTGTTCATTTTAGCAGATTCGTAGGAAAATTTCCAATCGATTGGCTTGTTTAGAATTAAAATCCATGCGCTATTGAGAGAGTTAAAAGAGGTCAAAATCTCACCATTTTTCGTAACGCGGTCGATTGTGTTTTTTTGGAATTGCATATGTTGCCGAAGGACGTAATTCCACGTCAAAATCGCGGATCTCAAGGTCTACTTTCATGGATTGACCATTTTCCCGGTGATTCCGGATACTCAGAGGACAATTTTTTGACCATCTAGTAGCATAATCGATATGATGATGACATATTTCCTCTAGAGTCATAATTGTATGCATTTTAGAAAAAAAATCGTGGAACTCCAGGTCTAATTTCAGGAACCGACAAAAAGCGATGATTCCAGATTTCCGGAGGTCCGTTTTCTGGCCTCGTAGTAGCAGAATCGATATGGTGATGATATATTTCCTCTATGCTTATGATTGCATACAATTTACAAAAAATCTGATTGGCCATTTTTCCGGTGAATCTGAATTTCCGCAGAGCCACCTCTCACGGGTTTTCCATCCCGACTGGCCACCCACAGGTCCAATCGGATCCTTGTCTGTTTCGTTCGAAAGTAAATAGTCATACCTTTCAAATAGTGGCTCAATCTTAAAATTTGGTAACCGAATTGTCGACAACCAGTCCTGTCATCATGAATCGACACGCTTTTCCCTTGGGACGTTTGCGGATTTTTCCGTTCGGCATGGCCTATCGGGTTTCTATTTAAAAGTAAAAGTATAAGATCACCGGTTTTTGCACATTGAGGATGAATGCTAGTCCCAAGCATCATTTGTTGGATCTCTGTGTAATTACTGCTGATCTGGCAATAACGGAGTAGCGGACGCGGGCGGTCAATCCTTCTCTTGCTTATATTTCATGCAGCTTCTACCAAATTCCTGACAGGTTCGTGTTGATGTCGAGCAGACCGTTTACAATTATAATTATCACGTAAGGAGGAAGAAACGAGGAGGCCAGCTTATCGTTTACCAAAACGAACCCTGCTGCAAACCCTACCCTCTTGCCCAACATTCCAGTGATTCCTCGTGGAAGTGCAGAGGATTTCTCGGCTTCCATCAAAGCGAGTGTCACGTCAACGCATTCCTACCCATTCCTTTCTTGACCTGCGGTTGGGCGCGGCCGGCGCTGGTATTGCCTAGTTTGAGATCACCAGTTTTTACACATTGAGGATGATTGCTAGTCCCAAGCATCGTCTATTGGTTCTCCGTGTAATTACAGTTGATCATCTGACAATAACAGAGTAGCAACCGTGAGCGGTCAATCATGCTCATGCTCATGGCCAATCGGGTTTCTATCTGTTCTAAATAAAAGTAGATAGCCAATACCTTTGGAATGGTGAAACGATTGATCATTGAATTGTTGATAACCCAGCCATGTCATCCATGAATCGACACGAATGTTGCAACCTTGGTACTTTGAGGAAGTTTCGATGGCTTGGAATTATATCAGTTAAGGTTCAAGAATTTCTAAAAAAAAATATGCAACATAATGAAACTCACATTTTCACCCTTGTACAGGATCTGCAGATCGGACAGAGGCTGAACGCTTCGTACCCTCCAGATGGTGTGCAGCAGTCCATCGGAGTAGCTGAAGTTGGCCAGGTGGGCAGCTCCCGGGAGCAATCCCAGCGTCGTCTTGGCCGACGCCTCTCCGAGGGCATTCTGAAAACGAATGAATCGGTTTAAGTTATTTTGTTTTTAAATTTCACCAACTAAGCTAAACCAACCTCAATCTTGCACACGTAGGTAACCAGATCCTTCTGCTCGACGTCACGCACCGTTAGCCGCGTCCGCAGATGGTGATTGTGGCGGTCTCGGATAATGCCGAACTTGGCACTGTCGTGCAGCGGCTCGGCTCCACGGAACCATTCGATCTTCAGAGCCGTCGGGTTGCTGTGGTACAGACACACCAGCTCGGCACTGTCTCCGATGGCCGTGTTCAGGTAGTCGATGTGTTTGGCGATCGAGGGGCTTGCTAGAAAGGGGGGAAATGACTAGTTTTAGTGAATTTAGTCGCTTGAAATTTGAGCGGAAAAATAATGGACTTTGCTGCAGTGCATGGAATGAAACAAATAGAGCTGGTGCTAATTCAAACTATAGGTGCTAGCTACTATTTTCTACTGTTTCTAACTGTAAGCAGTATGGAGTCGTTAAACCTTGTTTGTCATCCGGGGGCGCAGTACTAGAATCGTCTCCTGTGGGTCCAAGCAGTACTACTTTGGCTGCATTTGTTCAATTTGTGTTGTTAGGTGTCAGTGTAGATGGATGACGGATAGGACATTGAGATGATTGATAAGTAGTTTAATGAAGTTCCGGAGATAATGATTACTTACATTTGATCTGCACGTTCACGACGGCATTCACGGGTTCTCCGATACCATTCTGGGCCAAGCATTCGTAATTTCCGGAATGGTGGGCTTTGACGTCGCTGATTTCCAGAAACTCCTTCCGAACGGTGATTCCCGTTTTCTTGGCGTGGTTTTCGTCCAGATGTGTTCCCTGAAATGCAGAGCAGCAAAATATTAAAACATTGATTCTTCACGTATTTTGTTCCGTGAAACTAACCCGGAAGGACCACGTGATCGATGGCGTGGGGAAACCCGACGCGTGACAGTGAATGATAAACTTGCGATCATGCTGCTGGATTTCCAAGTTTCGGTTGGTGTAATCGTTGTTGCCATGCGTGATCATCACGTTGTAGGGAGGGCTGAAAAGTGAATATTTGTTGTAAGTAAACGCTGCATTTCGTTTGCTAGGCCAACGAGCACTTTACCCTCGGACTTTTAGGGTGAGGTAGGCGGACTTTGACACCGGGAAGACGGTACACTTGTAGATGGAGTCGTCATCGGCTTGGACTTCCTGGATCGTGAGGGCATTATCACTGCCCAGTGATAGTCGTGGATCCTTGGAATGTTTCGTACCGCGGACGTACAGCAGGGTGGAAGTGTTGTGCCACATGATGATGGTATTTTCTGCAATGGAAAGAAGCAGGGTTAACTTCGAGGTTGTATTGTTTATAGGAAGCAGTTTTTTTTTTCAAGTCGAGACAATATACAGTAGGCTGCCCCATTTTGCAGCAATGTTCTGCGTTTGCGTTTTCTGTATACCTCAGTAGCCTCTGGCAGAAAACAACACAGGGCCACATAGCACTTTTGTGAAAAAATGGCTTTTTCCTAAATTTCACTTTGATCGCTCATAAACCACTCAATATACTATACAACTACCTCAACCATAGTTTTCATAGGGTCAGTAAGGTCGATAAAATAATTTCTCTGAAGAAAGTAGATGCTTAGAATGCACAAAAACAAAAATAAAAATAAAAGTTCCCCGTTTTCTATCAAAATTTACATGCAAGTTTCCCAGGGGGTAGCTACATCACCGACAAACCGACATGACACTTAATTCTGACTTATGCCCGAAAATCGTTAACGGCCGATTTAAATGTGCAATGATCCGAACTGTCAAAACCATAGGATTTTTTGATCTTGATAAAAATAATTTCTCCAGAATAGATCTGACACGAACCAATTCATAACTTTTGCAAGCGGGTTCATGGCTTAGCTAAATATAACCCGCGAGCACGAAGCCAGATGTCAGTAGTGTGCTTTGGACAGAAATGTTATTGTTTTTGCTATGGTCATTCATGTCGGTTTGTCGGTGGCTACATGTCACTCCACACACCAGTCTTGAATCATCTTTTTTGTCAGTGTGCCACAAGTGTGCCGATTGTGCCGGTCATAGAGTAAGCTGCGATTGTTTGTAAAATATCCATCCGGCAACCCGGTATTTCTGACACCTTGAATGTTTTGATTTGAAATCGCATGAATAAATCGGATTGTGGATGTCGCGGGAAGTGGCGTGTGTGTGAAATTTTGGTTCATAGGATAATAAAAGTCCTGTGTTTTAGGGTTTTTAATGCCCTTAAAGGCAGACCAGATACCTAGCTTTTCGTTATGTGAAGAGCAATGGTCTATCAGCGGCCGGAAAGAGATGGAACCGGTGGGGAACATTGTTGGAGACCGACTATAGGATGATGAATAGACTTCTGTAGTTTGTTTTGTGTGAGTTGCAGCATTATTTGAATGAAGGGTATTAATGGGGTCTAGTTAACTGCCTCTTTATCTTGAGCCCACTCTATAAGTAAACTGCTGGTCTGAGTTCCTCAGTCAGTCAAACAGCACGTAATGTTGTGCACAACTTCAATGACAGTTGTCCAGCAGTGCCCCCATTTTATTTACAACAATGGATGTGCTCAAGCTGTGCCGAATCTAATTTCGAAACAATTTGCTGAGTGACTTACCCCTTGAAGTTTCCACATATTCGGCATTCACCCCGACGGCCAATTTGAAATGAAAACTTGAATTTAACGAAGTTCAAAAGTTCATGGAAATTGGAAGTGATTATCACAATAGGGGGGACCGTTGGCATTAAGCCGGGAATGCTTAGTGAAATTTTACTTGGATGATGGAGCATTCTCATCATCCGAGAGCATATAACATTCCCAACCAACAATATGAGCTGAACGATAGTTGAATACGTAATTTCTTAGCTGAAGAAGCATATTTCTACCTGCATAAACTTTTATGCAGGTGTCAATGTTTGTTGGGTTGATTCTTAAAATAAATTTCATCAGAAGGGGGACCAAGAGATTACCATTTTCTTTTGCGTTTAGGCGCCATGGTGGCAAAATAAAGTGTCCCAAAACGAATTTTCCAAAGCGATATCCAAGCCAGATTACCTCGGGTAGGGCTCAAACAAGTATTGAAGAGGAATAAGAATCTAGGTAGAAAATTTAGCACTGAAAAGTGCTGTTTAAAGTTGTTGTAACCTTAGGTAGCAGTAGCAGCAGCAGTAAAAGCAAATAGATCCGCACGGCAAGACAGAAAGAGCGATCCGGACTGGCTTACCAGATGCTGTTTTCACCGACCGTGTGGTCAAGTTACTACAGAGCCGGCGATCGTCACGGCCAGAAACTTCCGACTGTATTTGCTTCCGATTTGATTGATAGCGAATACACCGTTGACCTTCGATGTCTTCTTGCTTGATGCCTTCGCCGTATTACAGCCACAGTAACCTTGCTTGTGGCCGATTCGATTATAGTCATTACAAATCTGATCCGAATACGAGCAGCCACGGATGAAATGCATTTCGCCACACTGCCAACATGGTGCCTTCGGGGTGCTTAATTTTTCGCTTGCTCTAGGTTCTGGTACAGGTGGTTTCAAATGGGGCTTGTTCTGCATGACACCACACACTGAGCTCACCAACTGTTGTTTCTGTTCCACTAGAGCTGCATCATGCTTGAGGTTTAGAAGTCGTTGGCATTCCATGATTCTAGTTTTGAATCTTCTTCCTCATTCGGGTCAAGTTTTGAGAGTAGTCTCGCTCTGAAGTCCGCGTTCTTCGAGGAACGAAGTCCACAGATGAAAATCAGGCTTTTGAACTGATCTACTGTCATCTTCTTCAGCTTGAAATCTTCGCAGAGAACCTTCTTCCAAAACTCCAATGGCTTGTCGACATGTTTCTGGGCAAAGTTAAACGCTTGATACTATAAAAATCACAATCATTCTTAATATTGAAAATGTCGTCATTGGGCCAAACCTCGTTTAAAACCTTTTCCCAGCAGCATTCTACGGACAGTTTGTTCGGAGATGTTTAAATTGGAGTAACACGGCTGGTGGCAAACGAGACTTTAGTCACTTCCTGATAAATTTGGCGATCATAGCTGACTGTAGTCTTCCGCTTTCTTCCTCTATCGGTCCTGTCTGCCACGCTGTCAAATTCTTAGTTTTACGAAAATACACGATAAACAAGTGATCTAAGCATACATTTTTAATATGAAAGGATCTGGGACCGCGTTTTTCTGCTCAGTAAGCAAGCCACTGCAACCAACGATCTTTGAAATCATTAAACTAAAAGCTATGAAAGAGGCCTTCATTAAGATCTATTTTCACGCGACGTTAAATGTTTCGATTTTCTCTTTGCGCATGGTTCAGGTAATCATAACAAGCTATGACCGACGTGACGATTGTTAAAGACCTGGTTGAACAAGCTATTCAAATAAAATTACGTTCTCGAATTTTACTTGGTATGTAATGAACAACAGAAATACGCGATATATTTTCAGCGGTTGGTGGTTAATTTTAAATATACTAACGGTACTGCCTACGACTACGACGGCGATTACGACAGCGACTACGACGGCGCCTACGACAACTACAACAGCGAATTTGTAACTTACCATTACCAGGATAAACACCTTTGCCCGGCACCTCCACCTTCATGTCCGCTATCTGTCACTGTTTGCAAAATATCTAATAGCAATTACCTTCCAATACCAATACTTCCTGTATTGCCATGGTCATCTGGAAGGAGGGTCGCATCTAGTGCTTTCCCCAGGAACCGTTCACGGCCAGTCTTGGACGTATCCAGCGAGGCATCCTTCAGATTACTTACAATCTCCGACACTCAATGCAAATAGCAGGCACACTTACGCTAGTTACAAAAAAACACACCCGTGCAAAGAAATGGATCAAATAAACATCACTCTCGCGAAAGCACACCCGTCGTCGTCGAACGGCAAAAAAAAAGGAATCGGTGGGCAATTTTGCAGCTGGGTGATATGCCGCCATGTTATTGAAACCAACCCAAATACTTATCACACATTTTGAAAAAAAAACTAATTTAAACTTGAAAAATCACTCCGCGGAAAAACAGATAAATTCGTGACAGACAGCTCATGAAAACCCAACCATCCGTGGGCTGAGCCTACTGCGATCTCTCAATAAACGGAAGTTTTTAAGCACAAAAACTTCACCCAAGACACCAAACGTCTAAATATTAAAACAAAAGTTCTACGACTATACACCAAATTTAAGTTTTCATTATCAGTAAAACGAATTGCTGGATCATGATCAACAATCCAATGCTTTACTGAAAAACAGCAGACGAATTACCGAAAAAATCAGCTAACATAATCTAACACCCAGTCAAATACACCACCGGTCAAACCGCAGGAGGAGGAAGAGGTAAAAATAACTATAAATAAATAAAATTATGTAAGTAAGGACACTGGCTATATTTAATAAATGATGCTTGGAAAAGAGTCTGGCGATTTTATCTTTATTATTCGTATATTTGTATCAACGATCTTTTACAGAAGCTTGAAGCACATATAGTGAAAACAAATTCAATTTACTAAATTTAATAGTTTAATCAGCAAAATGCTGCCAAATGTCAGAATTTTGAATTGCTGAAAGATCAGTAAAGAAATTGCTGATTTTTAGTAAAAGATTGTCATTTTGACAGAAGTTGGAATTGCTGAAAAATTCAGCAGCATTATTTTGCTGGAACGTTTGCTGATCTTTCATCAAGTCTAAAATCAGCAAAATTTTGCTGATTTACAGCGTTTTAAATTTGGCGTGACTTACCTGTTAAATTCGCAACCTGGACTACTGAGTATTGTTCGGTGTCTTTGAAAAATTTTCAAGTTTGGGATTTAGCTTAATTTTGTTATGCTTCAGTTCGCCCAAATGACCTGCGGATCTAGATTTGTAAAATCCTTACTTCATAAACAACAGTTTGCGTTTGGATCGCAGTAATCATAAATTTATCGACCTTCAAATGTTAGTCATGCCAGGTCTGGTTCCTCCAGTCACCATCTTAGAACAGCAGGAATGCCGTTCGTGGCAGTACAATACGCTGCACACTATTAGATTGCATTCGTAAGGTGCAATTCTAAATAACGTCCGTACCGTGCCTGACCAGCGAATGCAGTTCACCTTGACGTGAAATACCACCTCGCCTGACTGTGACTGCAATCCTTCCAGGTAGACAACCCGGCTTTCTGTGTATGCAAGTGTACCGTATGCTATGCACGAGTCGGGATTAAATATTTCACTCAATTAGTTTGAATAATCGTCACGTCAGATCTCTTTTATCGCTCATTTGTCCTTCTAATTAATAATGCGAG